AGGAAATTAAATTTGATCTAACAAGCATTTCGATGGAATTGCAACGCGAACCGAGAACTAAAGTATGTCACATGGCAAATATTAATTCCTTTATTTTGTGTATCTCACAGTTTTCTTCTGTTTCCTAGCAGGAAGTTGTCATAATTTGCAGGAGTTGCATTTTGCTGAAGCACGCTGGATCACAGATAAATCTATAAGTTGCATCATAAACTCATGCCCAAATTTACGGAATCTCAATATTACAGCTAGCAGGGGAGAAATCAAAGATGCTAGTACTTTAATGCGGAAATGTTTCAATATAGAGTATCTTGATTTTAGTGGTGTCATGGCTTTTCATAACGATGCATTAATTGTAGCTATAATCAGAGCATCTCCGAAATTAAGACATTTAGAAATCGCTCATAATGATATTGGCGATGAGGTTGTTGAGGCACTAGCTCACACATGCCATGAATTGGAATATCTTGATCTTGGAGGGTGTGGATTCATTACAGAACCATCAATTTGCAATGTTGTTCACTCTTGTTCTAAACTCCAGCATCTCGAACTTGGTTTTTGTGAAATTTCTGATGTAACTATCAAAGAAATAGCGCGTTCATGTCCTAATATAAAATTCCTTGGTTTGGAGGGTTGTGAAAATATTAGTAAAAAAGCTATAAAACAACTTAATCCAAATATTCATACCGAAAATTTTGAAACAGATGAATGGTCCGATTCTGAATCAACTAGCTCTGAGAGTAGTACTTCCAATTCTGGTCCAGATGATAATCCCCTCCCAGTTATAAGAGAAATGATACTAGAAAATAATATCGATTTTATTTCTGCATTCAGTAATTATCTCAGAGAGACTGGCATGATTATTCCTAATTATCCATCTTGGGTTACAAATAATTGCATCTAGTAGTGAAGAATCAGTAATTAATTATTAGTTATTTTTTGGCTAAAGATATAAAGTATATATAAAAATTATTTACCATGAAAATAGTTAAAGCTAAAGTAGGGACCCAAAAAGTTAATTGCCGTCTTAATCCAGGATTTCTCGGGCCCTCTATGTGCACTGATAAACTCCTCAAGAAAATAGGTGGTAAAATTAGCAGAAAGTTAACTCCTGAAGAAAAAGATAGCAAATTCATCAGAGAAGAAGCCACAGCTCCACTTGGATTGGCCGTAATCCCACTTACATTTACATCTAATATAAAAGATAATATCTGTCTTAATAATAAAAAATCTATCACGATTCCAACCGAAGTACTGGTTGATAGATATAATTCTACATTACCTAATTATATATTGCTTGGTAATAATTGGTTCTATAGACGCAAATATGATGATGATGAGCTCCAGACTTATATACCAGAAATAGTGACTGATGCAGAAGATGCCTGGGTAAGAACAACTTTGCGTATTAAAAACCTAACTGAGAAGAAAGGGGAGAGAGTAATAGT